ATAAACAGATAAATTAAAGGAACAAGTTAAAAACACTTCATGTTTGGAATATTAGAATCTTCAAAATTTTCAATTTTTTTAAAGATGTTTAAAATGTTTTATTAAGTGGATTTGTAATTTCTAACATCATTGATCTGTTCTGTAACACCATAGTGTGTTTATTTGTAAAGTGTAAATGTATATTTACTGTATATATTCATATATTTATTTACAATAATAATAATACTAAAAGTTAATGTAGTAAAGGTCTAATGCGGCTCCAGTCCTCCTCCTCGTTCTGTCAGATTCAGGACTTTCAATGTTCCTGAGTTTGAGTTTTTTCTTTAATTTCAGTTTAAATAAAGTAAAAATATGTTTTCCTATAATGTGAAAGTTTGTCTTTTTATTTCCTCTTGACTTCAAATCTTTAGTGAGAGAAAAGGGTTCTGGTTCTGAAGGTTCTGAAGGTTCTGAAGGTCTCGGTATCGCTCACACACAGCTGCTCTCATACTGCCAGGGGGGGGGGGGGTCTTTAGTCCAGAATCAAAAACTGAAGTTCAGAAAAATCTGAGAGAAATTAAATATATTTTTATTAAACATAAAATATATTTAATAAACAAATTAAATTAACTTTTTAGTGATTTAAAGACATAATAAACAACATGATTGACAGCTCTGTGGACCAATGAGGGTTCAGAGAGCGGAACTACAGAGAGAGAGAGAGAGAGAGAGAGAGAGAGAGAGAGAGAGAGAGAGAGAGAGAGAGAGAGAGAGAGAGAGAGATAGAGAGAGAGAGAGAGAGGAGAATTAGGGGACATGAAAACTTTAAATTTGAATATTTGAAAGTTTTGATCCTGTTGTTGTTGTTTCCTGTTTACAATGTTCCCTTATATATATATATGTATGAATGTGTGTGTGTTAGTGTGCGTGTGTGTGGTTGTCAGCGCTGGGTGATAATTGGTTAAACGCGCTCTCTCTTTTCCTCTCGCTCGCCCTCCAGCTGGTTAAATTAGCACGTCTATGCGACTGTTTCCTGTTGCCGGGCGCCGATGATGGTGATGATGATGTGTTGTTACCATGGTAATTACTGAAGCAGAACAACAGGAAGACAGGCGGGGTCACAAAGGTCAAGAGTGCTGACACCCTCCTCCCCCCTCTCTCCTCTCTCTCTTTTTCTCCGTTTGTTTTTCCTTCTTTACTTTTAACGAACTTTCTTTGTTCTGTCGCTTCATTGGAGACACCGCCGCCGCCGCCGCCGCCGTGAGTCTCTGAGCTCTGATTGGACAATCATGTCAAAGTTTGGGCGATAGATCTGTCCAATCAGAGCGTCAGAAAACATGGCTGAGATTATTGTTGATTTTTTCGCTCTTTAGTTTGAGGTTATTATCCGACCTCTTCTTCACTCGCTCTCTCCATTTGTCCTTCCTTTATTTTTAACCTCCTTAATCGTTACGTTTAGTTCTGTTCATCCTCCGGTGAACTTAGCCGACTAAAAAGGACCAAAAAGGATTTAAAAAGACTAAAAAAAAGACTGAAAAAGATTTTTAAAAAGGACAAAAACACGTTTTTAAAAAAGACGAAGAAAAATGAAAGAGTAATAAAAAGACTGAAAAAGACAGAATCAGAATCAGACGGACTTTTATATAAACGCACATAAACTCATTCACATGAACCTCTAAATATAAACACAGATGAACTGATATAAACTGTTATACTATAGATATATATATATTTATATAACCTTTTTCTATAAACTAATACCAGCTGCAGCCCTGTTTTTTCAGTTCACAGATAAATATATAAACATAAATAAACTTTTTTAAAGGTGATTAAATGTGAACATGTTCCTGTTTCTTGTCAAATGTTGTTTATTTAAACTCCTGAATGTGAATTTTATTAAATCTTGAAAATTTAAGTTTCTTTATAATTTTTTAAACTTCTGAATTTGTTTAATTATAAACTCATAAATGAAAGTTTGAACATGTATGAATAAGAAATATGACCTGATCAATAAAAACATTCAATCATATTTCTTTGATTTAACAGTTTTTGTTTTCGTGTGTGTATAAGTATTACCAAATTAAAAAACATTAATAACCTCAATTATAAATTAAAGTCACATGATTTTTTTATGTGTATAAAATTATAAATTTTTAAAATCAACATTAAAATCTGACTCGGTGATAAACGTACGACTATGACGCTCTGATAGTTGAGTTCTCATATTAACCTTTAGACATGAACTGGATTCAATACAAACTCATTTTAGTTTGTATCAATATAAACGGATTAACATGTTCCAATCAGCTGATCAATGTGATTATGAACACATGATCACATGAACACATGAACACAGACAGAGTTTGTTTAAACAGATGTTTGAAAGCTGAGCGGCTGATGACGAGAAAGTGACATAAAAACTCTGATTTATAGTATATTAGAGTAAAACATAGTACAGTATAGTATAGTAGAGTATATTATAGTACAGTACAGTAGAGTATAATATAGTATAGTAGAGTATATTATAGTACAGTACAGTAGAGTATAATATAGTATAGTAGAGTATTTCCACAGAGAGTACAGGTACCGTTACTGCAGTAAAAGTTCAGAGTACTTCTTTTATTACTGCGTATTTATTTAAATATTTCCACAGTGAGGTTTTATTAAGAACACTCCACTGCAGAGAGTACTCAGTTCATCTACACTGAGTGTGTGTGAGTGTGTGAGTGTGTGTGTGCGTGTGTGTGTGAGTGTGCGTGTGTGTGTGTGTGCACACTCCCTCCCTCGTATATCTGAGCTAATGGGAGTCCGCTGACATAAATTCTCCTCTAACAGACATTTTAGTGCAGCGAGGCAGCAGCTGCAATATGAAGCTGTAATGGACCGAGATCACACACACACACACACACACACACACTCACACACACACACACACGGACACACACACACACACACACACACAGTAGCAGCAGAGTGTATTATCAGTGTGACATGAACAGGAAGTGTCAGAGTGAATCACTGTCTGAGTAAAGATGAAAAACCTTTGATCAAAGTGTCTCAGTACATTAATTCACTGATCATTCACTCATTCATTTACTTAATTACTCATTCATTTATTCACTCATTTATTCATTCATTCATTTAATCAGTCTGAATAGCCTGGTTGTGTTGGTGATAATCATCTGATCTCTACACACACAGACACTCAATGACGACAACAACAACAACAACAACAATAACACATATAAACAGGTTCTGGCAGGGTGGGGTTTAACCTTCAGTAAAAGGCTGAGTTAAGTTTAGTTAAGTTAAGTTTAGTTAAGTTTAATTTTAGTTTTAGTTAAGTTAAGTTTTGTTTTAGTTAAGTAAAGTTTAGTTTTAGTGAAGCTTAGTTTTAGTTTGTTAAGTTTAAGTTTAGTTGGATTTAATTGAAGTTAGTTTAGCTTGGTTTAAACTGATTTGGTTAGGTTTAGTTAATTTTAGTTCATATATTAGTTTGTATATTTTAGATGAGTTTAGTTTAGTTTAATCTTGTTTAGTTCATTTCAGTTCAGTATATTTTAGTTCACCTTAGTTTTAGTTAAGTTTTAGTTAAGTTTAGTTAAGTTTGTTTAGTTTAGTTTAGGTTTAGTTGAACTTAATTCAATTAATTTAGTTTTAGTTTATTTAAGTTGGGTTTAGTTTTAGTTCAGTTTGGTTCTAGTTCAGTTTTAGTTTTAGTTTAAGTTAAGGTTTAGTTTTAGTTTATTTAATTCTAGCTTTAATTTAAGTTAAGGTTTAAGTTTAACTTTGTTTTAGTTTTAGTTTAATTTTTAGTTTAAGTTTAAGTTAAGGTTTAAGTTTAACTTTGTTTTAGTTTTAGTTTAATTTTTAGTTTAAGTTTAAGTTAAGGTTTAGTTTTAGTTTATTTAATTCTAGCTTTAATTTAAGTTAAGGTTTAAGTTTAACTTAGTTTTAGTTTTAGTTTAATTTTTAATTCAAGTTTAAGTTAAGGTTTAGTTCAGGGTGTGTTTTTGTTTGTAACCTGCTCTGACTTATTTTGTTTCATCTCTGACCAATCAGATCACGTTCCATCTGTCAGCTCAGCCAATAAACATCCTGTAATCCTGAGAGTCAGATTAGACAGATCATCCCCTGAACACGGTTTATCCTCCACCTGTGTGTGTGTGTGTGTCTGTGTGTGTGTGTGTGTGTGTATGTATTAACAGGCTTTGTGTTACCAGATGGATTAGCAGCTGTGAGGACTTCAGATCAGTCAGAGTGTGTTCATGATGGTCCTCAGTTCACACACACACACACACACACACACACACACACACACACACACACACACACATACTTGTCTTTATCACATTGTAGGGACACAAGACGTGGACATGCAATCTGGGAACCACCCTTTCTGCAGGTGCTACAGCGCTGAAAAAAATCAGGCAGTTTCTTGGAGCAGCCAGAAAAACACATATCACTTCAAATTGTCAATCAGACAAAGTAGAGTCTTTCACCTGACCAGGGACAGCCTAATGGGGACTTGTCAGGTTTATAGTAATTAATGGGGTCACAATATACACACTTCTGGTTTTTCTGTCTTTGTTAGGACCACTTAGCACACCCTCAGGTTTAACTTACTTTGTAGAGTCTGCCATCACAGACTTATTTAACTGCTTGATAGCCCCATTATCATATAAACCTAGTGTTAACTGGATTACAAATAAGGTCTGCCACAAGATATAGGTCACGTCACTGAGAGGTTTTATTGCATAAAAAAAACAAACAAAAAAACCTGGTCAGATTCTTCAACCTCTCACAGAGATTGCTGATTACTAATCAACATGTTAGTAAATGTAACAACATAACGGTTATGTTGGTAAACCAAAGTCAATTTTACTGACTGAATCAAACTCAAGTGAGATATTTGAACCTGTCAAATAACTGAACAGCCAACTTTTTGTGAGCTTGTTTCTAAATAAACAAAAAAACAAATTGACAAATAACATTTGTCTACTAGTTTTGAACTTTACATTTTACATTGTCCTCTTCAAGGCTGTGATGCGGTTTTTGATGTAAAATTTAATGGCTAGCCAATTTCTGTCCCTAAGAGCGGTCTTCTCTGCGCTAAGGCACTTATCACAGTCACTTTTTCCTGGAACACGGCATGTTGTGATGAAGGACATCATGTGCCTTTCGACAGCAGCAATCTCCTCTTTCTCCCACGTCTTTCTCTTGCTAGGTTGTCGTCCTGTGCATCAACACACAACACAAACAAGTGGCTCTCATTACCTTTCATTTTTGATCTTGAAATCAGCCAATCTTGAAATCTAAATTTGACAAAAGTTTACCTTTTAACCGTTTCACAGGTTTCTGATGATCTCTGGCCTGTGGAGTCGTCACAGTATCTTGCTGTGGTGCTGCATTGTTCACTGTGTGTCTCACATCTGGCCCAATTGTCTCACTGTCCTCTGTTGTGGTTGCATTCTCTGAAAGCCAGAGGGGGGAAAAATGGAATTACTGCCACGCAGTTGTATTCCTCAGTGAACCATCCATGTCCATTCACTTTTAATGTATGAAGTATCTGAAGGAAACATGTCTATCATGCTAATATGCATCTGTTTTTAAAGTTGTCACAATTAGTGGATTTTTTTATGAAGGACAGAACCATATTTTGTAATGACAAAGCAATGTTGAATGTTGAATACCAAAATGTAAGCTAAATTCATCTTTGAGTTAAAGTGGGCATTTGTGCCTAATCTGAAGAAATTATCTCATGGCATTCTTACGATATCCTGTTCACAAGAATAAACAAATGTATTTTTAGATTGTCTATCATCAACAAGCCTGGAAGACCACATAATTGTTGAATCATTTTCTTGGTGAAGATACACTTCATAACATGTAATTGTGTCAGAAATATCCCAGAGGAGTACAATGAACCAGATTTGTAGGAAGAGTATGAAGAAGGAAAGAAATAGATTATGAACCAAAGTCAAGATAACGTTTCAAACATGGTGCAGACATGGACATTAAAAGCTGTAAATGAAGAATTTAATAGAGGAGGGAAAAAATGATCAATTCTAAGATGCATCGCAATTCAGCCATGCACGATTCTGCATCGATGCAGCGACTTGACATAATCACTTTCCCCACCCTTTATTACTTTATTTTGCTGGCCACACTTGGACAATAAAGTTTGGAGGTTTTTTAACTACAGTGTGAGCACAACAACCGAAATGCAGGACGGGGATATGGCGCAAACAACAAGAGTAATCAAAGATGCTCCCATTAGCTTTAAATTGGACTTTTAGGCTAATTTAGTCTTTTATGAACTTGACAGGAACCTTGAGAAGACGCAAACGGTGTGTAAAGTCTGCCACACAAAAATAAAGTACTTTGGGATTTCAACTAATGACCACCCTGTGAGGACATTGGCAGCAAAAGCCACAAAAACAGCAAGTGCATCCCAACCTACAATCACATAAGTGCTGATAACTTTGCCATCCTCTTTGGAGAGAGGGAAGAGGATCACCGATTCTGTTTCATGCTTTGTTGCTACGGATCTACGGCCGTATTCAGTGGTAGAAAATATTGGGCTCTGCTACCTCCTGAAGACACTTGAGCCTCGGTATATCCTGCCGACAAGAAGACACTTCACAGGAACTGCTGTGCATGCATTGTACAAAGACACCAAGGTCCAGGTAATGGAATCAGTGAGTAAAGCTAGCTGTGTAGCCATTGTATGTGACTCCTGGACTCCAAGTGCAACAGAGTCGTACATAATAACAGCACATTATATGAGCGAGGACTAGCAGATTTTTTATGTGATGCCGACGAGAGCTGTTTATGAGAGTCACACAGGTGCAAATCTGGTGGGGCTAATGGCATCTAAGAAATAAAGACGTCATGCTGGTGATGGACAGCTGGACTTCTAAAATGATACATGCAGCTAAAGTTGGGCAGTTCCCTCATGTAAAATGCTTTGCGCATAAACTGAATTTTGCTGCACAGCAGCCACTCAAACTGCAGAAGGTTTCCAGACTTCTGGCAGAGTCCAATGTGTGTCAATATTTTTTAATCGCAGCACGATCATCAAGTCAGTCAGCTGACCTCAAGAATATTTTTCATGACTGAAAACAAACCTTACAGGTAGAAAGACCTACGAACAAGTAAATGTTGAAGATGGTTGCTGTAAAAGCCTGCCTAAGCACCTCTGTTCCTGGGATCCAGACTTAAAGCAGTCATTGACTACTAACCATCAAAATTAATTCTTATATTTATAAACTGATGGTATGTCCAATTACAGTTGAAACTCTGAAAATGTAGGGGGGTTGGCAAGTGGGTTGATTTTAGGTCTAATGCCAAACTCCCAGCTTTTAGCATGAAAATCTAATAATTGACCCTGAAATTCATTTTATCCCATTATCCACCTCCCCCCCCCCCCCCATTTTTTGATGAGGGGGTCATTCTGGATGAAATTTCATCCAAATCAACTTTCTGTATAAAACTCTATCACTTGACCCCCCATAATTCATTTTTATCCCATTAATGCAATCGAGAAAAAAGTCAATTCTCTAGAAAGTGTCCAACAAATACTGGGGGGGGGGGATTTTTGGCAAGGGGGGTAATTTTAGGTCAAATGTCAAAATCCCAACTTTCAGCATGGAAATCCATTATTTGGTCCCAGAATTCCTTTTTATCTGATTAATGACCCTTCAAGTGGACAAAAATGTCCATTTTCAATAAAGTGTCCTATAAATGGTCACAGGGAGCTGACTTTCGGCAAGGGGGGTACTTTGGGGAAAAATTTGATGATAAATACTTTTAGCATGAAAATCCATTATTTGACCCTGTGATGCATTTTTATCCCATTAATGACCCTTCAATAGACACAATTTTCAATTTTCTAGAGAGATTCCTACAAAAGGTTACAGGCATGTGATTTTTGGCAAGGGGGGTTGTTTGAAGGTCTGACGTCAAAATCCCAACTTTCAGCATGAAAATCCAACCCAAGAATTTTTATCCCATCTACATGACGGAGGATTAATTAATAAAAATCAGTTCTGAGTTTTAAATCAGAATTGTAACTTTAATTCTGACTTTTGTTCATAGAATTTGAACTTTGAAACTAAGAATCTCAGAATTCAGACTTTTTTTCACAGAATTCTGAATTTTCCTCAGAATTCGGTCTTCAGAATCTCAAAATTTTGACATTTTTCTCTGCTAATTCTGATTTAATGCTCAGAATCTCATAATTGACTTTTTCCCCACATAATTCTGACTATTTAATCTCAGAGTTCTGACTATCTATGCATATATGTGTATCCATATCATGAAGAGTCGGTCTGAGGAGTTTGTCTTCAGCTGCTCTGTTGTAAAGTGTCTTGAGATAACATTTTTTATGAATTGGCACAATACAAATAAAGATTGACTGATTGAAAAATGTCCAAGGGTCATTTAAGGGTTAAATCACATCTTAATGGTTTTGCTTCAAATCCACTGTCAGGCAAACTTATGAAAATGGTGCCACTCTCCAAACATGGCCTTCATTAAAATTTCTTACATACATATTTGAGCAATATTTTAATAATATCAATATCAGAATAAACTCAAAATTAGCCAATACAATTGTGGTTATCCATGGATTAGTGACAATGGACACATTTAAGGATTATATTGTGGCTGAGGGGCTTACCTGGTGAGTCTGACTCATCATCTGCTTCAGGGTCACATGGTGCCTCAGGGTCTCTTTCCTGGTCGCTGTCTAGGTGTACATTCTCTGTGGACGATTGAAAGAGGAGAGGAAGGAAACTGACTAAGTGGAAAATGCATCACTTGATCCTCACACACTCAAAAAATACCAACTGTTTTTTTATTCTGTAGAACAATTAAATATTTAGTACCTTCAGGATCAATACAAATGTCATCCAGGGACTTCCCCTTGAACTCTGCCAGACACCCCTGCTCCAGAGCCATGAGAACCTTGCTGATTTTAGCCAGTTGTAGAGTGCCCTCCGGAAGTCTGTAAAACTGTCTGTGCACTCTAATATCATGTCCAAGAAAATCTGCTAGTTGATCAAGCTCTGTGTTTGTGAGGTTAAGGACTTGTGACAGGGTCCCAGTTTGTTTGCGTAATTTTGTTGAAGTCAGACTTTCAGGGTTTTTTGCGCCGCAGACCTTGGCAAAGTGTCGCAAACAGTCAGATCCACGATAGCAGATAAGAGTTGTTGGTCGTGCAAACAGGTATGTGTTCTCTGGGAGAACCCCACATTCCTGTCTTTTTCTGATGAGCAGATCCAATGCTGCTTGCACTGGTGGGGTCAAAAGTACAGGAACTTTTCGCCCTCTTTTACCTCTTATTTCAATCCTTCGGAAATGCTGGCAGAGCTTCTTCTCTAGGTCTGAGAGAGCTAAATTCACTTCCTCCTGTGGGTCTGATGGATTGTGTGACAAATAAGCAGAAACTGGAATTTTTGACACTTCCCCAGATCTTCGACGGTTGAACAAAATGACTTTAGTCAAAATGACTTTTGTCAGCTGTGCCCAGGTCTGGGGGGACGTCTCTGAGGATAGCTGGCTGAAAAGTTCTTCTTGCTGTGCATCTAAAAAGGAATGGAGAGTCTGAACATCTTTCGTGAATGGAAGCAGCTGAGGAGTATTCCACTTGGACTCCTGAAGGGTTCTTAGTGATGCAGCTGATATCAGCTCATTCCACCTGGCTTCATACACGCTGCGGAATGTACGAGCATCCTTTGCTGCACTGTAGTCACTTTGTACATTTGCACGGCTTTCAACAAGCATTGAAATCTTTTTCAGGCTGTATCCAACTTTGAGAGCCAGACTGGGGCACCTGTATGCATCTGTTTCACCATTGTAGCCTGCAATGTCTTTCACTGCCTCGATAACATACATGAAATTTGCAGGCTTGATGTGATCTTGAATCATCTTCAAGGGAGTGTTTTTTCTTGAGCATATGAGAAGCCGTCCCAACTCTCTCAATTTCTGGCGAATGTATTCATGTTTGCCAGGATCATACCCAAGCCTGTTGAATAAATGTTCACCATACTCCATGATACATGGATCAGATTTGACAGCAAAGTACACTTCGTCCTGAACCATTTTGTTCAGGAGCTTCCAAAGTTGTTCCTTCATTCCAGGTGGTGGAGGCGCAGCAAATCCGCAAAGCGCTTGGACACGTGTTCTGCCAGGTTTAAGTGGAATACTAGGTTTGAATTTGCAGATCTTCATGTGCCTCCAAAGGACTTTCTTTGTATAGAAGCCCTGACAATATGCACAATGCAGAAACTTCTGCACTTGAGATTCATCCTTCGGTTGCTTGCGTGGAACAGGAATTCCAACACCAGAATTCAATACTTCAACATTATGTGCAAAGTTTCCCTTGTTTCTCAAGAGTTCCATATGCATCCGTCTTTCTTTTGAGCCTTTTGGGAAGGACACAGCCCTTGCAACATCTGGTATGTCTTGATGAGCACGCTCCAAATGCCTTGCCATTTTTATAACCCCTAATTTACAGTACAGACAGTATTGCTTTTTGTTATACAATCTTGATCCATCCTCTTTCTTACAAACAGCAGGTATGGAAGGTAAATCATCAGTCACTCCACCCAGGGAAGAGGTGCTGTCAGGTAGATTTTGCTCCAGATCAGGTGCAGAATTATCCAACAGGACTCTATGTCTAGAGTTGCCCCCTCCACTCTGTTCTGATAAGTTGCCAGTACCTGTTTGTGTTGCTGGGCAAGGCACACTGCTTGAACATCTTCTTCTTTGCCTTGTACCAGAGGTGCCTTCTTTTCTTGAGGATGAGCGCCCTCTCTCCAGATTCAAAGTGGCATGGATAGGTTCTGTCATTGGGAGACATCCATCTCTGACATCTGCCGTCTTCTCGAAGTTTGGAAATCTGAGCTTTGTTATTTTCTGGTCAGTCTTAATGTTGCAAGGGTCTGAATCTTCAGAAGAATCTTCACCGCTCTCAGGAATATACTCTTCTCCACTGTCATCTGAGGTGTGATCATAAAGCTCATCCAAATCGAAGTCAACTCGACCTTTCATCTTCAGGAGCAAGTTAAGAGAAAAAAAAGGTAAATTCAGTTTCAGGCAACATGCCACTTAAGCATCTGGCATACACATTTCATAAAGGAAATACTTTAGCTTTAAAAATGTTAAATATATGTATCAACATTTCCCTCCATTGTGTGTGTTGCACACCTGTATGCTCCTGGTCCTCCTCAATTTTGGAACAGTCTCTTTGTCTTGGTCAGTGACGGTAAGTTCAGACTCAGAGGACAGACTCCATGTCTATGATGTAAAAAAAATAAAAAAGTAAAAAACTGTTTGTAGCAATCAAATTTGTCTAATGCCTGCCAGTACAATATCAACATCAAAGTACCTCGCAGCTTTCATTTAGCTGTAAAGGGCTGGTGTGTGGACTGGGAGATTCTTCAGAATCAGTGTAGTCAACAAGGCAAGGGATGATTCCAGTTCTGTTTGCTGAATGATCAGAGTCTGATTCATCCAAGTCCTACAGGGCAAAAAGTGACTTTTCTTAAAGACTGCTACAACAGCTTTACACATCCAGTGGACATCTGGGGTTACTACTTTCAAGGTTCAAGATGGTTGAGATTTATCAAAAATATGCTGCCTACAAATTTATCATGAAGACATGGATTTTTGTTGGGATAATGCGTGAAAAAGTAGTGTCAGTGTCAGTAAATGTGTACAGTATGATTAGCTGACGTGCCTCCAAAAATTAAGACACCTGACACCTGCTGTGTAGAACAACTGCCATAGTTCATGACTGGGTGGTCCCCACTTTATCACGAAAACCAGACTATGCTTGGCAACATATTTAACATCAGAGTAGCACTGATCTTAACTAAACCAAACTCGTCACAAGAGTCAACTTTACAAATATTGGATTAAAAAAGAAAAAACATATTGCAATACAATTGATTCTTACCTGCATGGTGGTGGACGGTTGTCTCTCTGCAGTCTTCTCTGCTGTTCTGGAGACTTCGGTGTCAGAGGACATCTCAGCACATGACTGAAATAAGGATTCAAAATTAATTTGAAGCTCATCAACAACACATTTATCACACTTAACCATGAGAAAAAGCCAAAAGAAAAGTGAAGAAACTTGTGAACCTTTCAATATTTCTATGCATCTGGCTCCAAATCTTATGTTTCTCATAGGTACAACATGGCTATGACAGATGTGACATGTATGTATCCTGCTATACCCCTGCAGTGACTTTTACAGCTGAAAACAAGTGAATATTAAGGATGACAGGGTTGAACTGACCTGTGGCCAAGGACTGATGTGAATTGTACAGAGCAAACTTAGCCTATGTTACAGGCCGCGTGTATTACTTGGTGTTTTGTTAACTTAATACATGAAAAAGTCATGTCAGTGTCAGTGAATATGCAGAGTATTTCTTAGCTAACGTGGTCCCCACAAATAAGGCACCTGACAAGTGTGTAACACAGCAGCCATAGTATATGATTGGGTGGTCCCCACTTTATCACGAAAACCAGACTATGCTTGGCAACATATTTAACATCAGAGTAGCACTGATCTTAACTAAACCAAACTCGTCACAAGAGTCAACTTTACAAATATTGGATTAAAAAAGAAAAAACATATTGCAATACAATTGATTCTTACCTGCATGGTGGTGGACGGTTGTCTCTCTGCAGTCTTCTCTGCTGTTCTGGAGACTTCGGTGTCAGAGGACATCTCAGCACATGACTGAAATAAGGATTCAAAATTAATGTGAAGCTCATCAACAACACATTTATCACACTAAACCATGAGAAAAAGCCAAAAGAAAAGTGAAGAAACTTGTGAACCTTTCAATATTTCTATGCATCTGGCTCCAAATCTTATGTTTCTCATAGGTACAACATGGCTATGACAGATGTGACATGTATGTATCCTGCTATAACCCTGCAGTGACTTTTACAGCTGAAAACAAGTGAATATTAAGGATGACAGGGTTGAACTGACCTGTGGCCAAGGACTGATGTGAATTGTACAGAGCAAACTTAGCCTATGTTACAGGCCGCGTGTATTACTTGGTGTTTTGTTAACTTAATACATGAAAAAATCATGTCAGTGTCAGTGAATATGCAGAGTATTTCTTAGCTAACGTGGTCCCCACAAATAAGGCACCTGACAAGTGTGTAACACAGCAGCCATAGTATATGATTGGGTGGTCCCCACTTTATCACGAAAACCAGACAATAAGCAACACATTTAACATCAGAGTAGCACTGACCTTAACTAAACTAAACTGTGTGCACAACAGTCAACTTTACAAATATTGGATTAAAAAAGAAAAAACATATTGCAATACAATTGATTCTTACCTGCATGGTGGTGGACGGTTGTCTCTCTGCAGTCTTCTCTGCTGTTCTGGAGACTTCGGTGTCAGAGGACATCTCAGCACATGACTGAAATAAGGATTCAAAATTAATGTGAAGCTCATCAACAACACATTTATCACACTAAACCATGAGAAAAAGCCAAAAGAAAAGTGAAGAAACTTGTGAACCTTTCAATATTTCTATGCATCTGGCTCCAAATCTTATGTTTCTCATAGGTACAACATGGCTATGACAGATGTGACATGTATGTATCCTGCTATAACCCTGCAGTGACTTTTACAGCTGAAAACAAGTGAATATTAAGGATGACAGGGTTGAACTGACCTGTGGCCAAGGACTGATGTGAATTGTAGAGCGCAAACTTAGCCTATGTTACAGGCCGCGTGTATTACTTGGTGTTTTGTTAACTTAATACATGAAAAAATCATGTCAGTGTCAGTGAATATGCAGAGTATTTCTTAGCTAACGTGGTCCCCACAAATAAGGCACCTGACAAGTGTGTAACACAGCAGCCATAGTATATGATTAGGTGGTCCCCACTTTATCACGAAAACCAGACAATAAGCAACACATTTAACATCAGAGTAGCACTGACCTTAACTAAACTAAACTGTGTGCACAACAGTCAACTTTACAAATATTGGATTAAAAAAGAAAAAACATATTGCAATACAATTGATTCTTACCTGCATGGTGGTGGACGGTTGTCTCTCTGCAGTCTTCTCTGCTGTTCTGGAGACTTCGGTGTCAGAGGACATCTCAGCACATGACTGAAATAAGGATTCAAAATTAATGTGAAGCTCATCAACAACACATTTATCACACTAAACCATGAGAAAAAGCCAAAAGAAAAGTGAAGAAACTTGTGAACCTTTCAATATTTCTATGCATCTGGCTCCAAATCTTATGTTTCTCATAGGTACAACATGGCTATGACAGATGTGACATGTATGTATCCTGCTATAACCCTGCAGTGACTTTTACAGCTGAAAACAAGTGAATATTAAGGATGACAGGGTTGAACTGACCTGTGGCCAAGGACTGATGTGAATTGTACAGAGCAAACTTAGCCTATGTTACAGGCCGCGTGTATTACTTGGTGTTTTGTTAACTTAATACATGAAAAAGTCATGTCAGTGTCAGTGAATATGCAGAGTATTTCTTAGCTAACGTGGTCCCCACAAATAAGGCACCTGACAAGTGTGTAACACAGCAGCCATAGTATATGATTGGGTGGTCCCCACTTTATCACGAAAACCAGACTATGCTTGGCAACATATTTAACATCAGAGTAGCACTGATCTTAACTAAACCAAACTCGTCACAAGAGTCAACTTTACAAATATTGGATTAAAAAAGAAAAAACATATTGCAATACAATTGATTCTTACCTGCATGGTGGTGGACGGTTGTCTCTCTGCAGTCTTCTCTGCTGTTCTGGAGACTTCGGTGTCAGAGGACATCTCAGCACATGACTGAAATAAGGATTCAAAATTAATGTGAAGCTCATCAACAACACATTTATCACACTAAACCATGAGAAAAAGCCAAAAGAAAAGTGAAGAAACTTGTGAACCTTTCAATATTTCTATGCATCTGGCTCCAAATCTTATGTTTCTCATAGGTACAACATGGCTATGACAGATGTGACATGTATGTATCCTGCTATAACCCTGCAGTGACTTTTACAGCTGAAAACAAGTGAATATTAAGGATGACAGGGTTGAACTGACCTGTGGCCAAGGACTGATGTGAATTGTAGAGCGCAAACTTAGCCTATGTTACAGGCCGCGTGTATTACTTGGTGTTTTGTTAACTTAATACATGAAAAAGTCATGTCAGTGTCAGTGAATATGCAGAGTATTTCTTAGCTAACGTGGTCCCCACAAATAAGGCACCTGACAAGTGTGTAACACAGCAGCCATAGTATATGATTAGGTGGTCCCCACTTTATCACGAAAACCAGACAATAAGCAACACATTTAACATCAGAGTAGCACTGATCTTAACTAAACCAAACTCGTCACAAGAGTCAACTTTACAAATATTGGATTAAAAAAGAAAAAACATATTGCAATACAATTGATTCTTACCTGCATGGTGGTGGACGGTTGTCTCTCTGCAGTCTTCTCTGCTGTTCTGGAGACTTCGGTGTCAGAGGACATCTCAGCACATGACTGAAATAAGGATTCAAAATTAATGTGAAGCTCATCAACAACACATTTATCACACCAAACCATGAGAAAAAGCCTAAGGAAAAGTGAAGAAACTTGTGAACCTTTCAATATTTCTATGCTTCTTGCTTTTTTTTTTTTTTTGCAAAGGTTCTCATAGGTACAACATGGCTATGACAGATGTGACATGTATGTATCCTGCTTTAACCCTGCAGTGACTTTTACAGCTGAAAACAAGTGAATATTAAGCATGACAGGGTTGAACTGACCTGTGGCCAAGGACTGATGTGAATTGTAGAGCGCAAACTTAGCCTATGTTACAGGCCGCGTGTATTACTTGGTGTTTTGTTAACTTAATACATGAAAAAGTCATGTCAGTGTCAGTGAATATGCAGAGTATTTCTTAGCTAACGTGGTCCCCACAAATAAGGCACCTGACAAGTGTGTAACACAGCAGCTATAGTATATGATTGGACGGTCCCCATTCAATCAGGAAGCCTGACTGTGCTTGGCAACATATTTAACATCGGAGTAGCACTGACCTTAACTAAACCAAACTGTATACACAAGAGTCAACTTTGCACATCTTTGACCAAAAAAGAAACATGGAACGACCTGTAGGGGGTGTCACGATTTAACAACTCCTCGATCCAATTCGATTTTCAATTCTTTTTCTTACTTTACAGCACAGAGGCCTTTGCTTTTTTTGGAATAGTCTAGTCTACAATCGTTTGTTTGATTCATTACATTTGTACAGTAAATCATCTCTCAATAGATGGGCTACATACAAGTGATGCAATTTCCATCATTCTTGTGTACGTTTTTATCACATCAGGCACTATTGGTCAGTTTTAAATAATTTAAATAACAATCTTGTTTAAGTGAAAACAACAAGAATGAGAACTCACAGGGGGTGCTGCCATCTAGTGACTCTTTTTGGTTACAGAACTACTCAACATGAGAACTAAATAATTGTAACAGTCATGTCCAAAATAATGGAACAATTAGAACCTTGAGAAACAATATCCTCACAGTTAAACATAAAAAAACTAAGTGGTTTGTCACTTTGCCATTCTTCTCTAGACCTTAACATTAGACCTTATTTTAGGGGAGAAAATGTGTGTTACATACAAGAAATTGGGGTACAATGTGTGCTTTCATCATTTGCTTCAGGATTGCCGAGTCTCTCTTTGATTTTGATTTTCGAGACCATGACATCGATTTGATTGATTTCAATAAAAAATCTAAATTGTGACACCATTAACATCTTATTCAAAGTTAAAAATACAGTTGATTCTTACCTGCATGGTGGTGGACGGTTGTCTCTCTGCAGTCTTCTCTGCTGTTCTGGAGACTTCGGTGTCAGAGGACATCTCAGCACATGTCTGAAATAAGGATTCAAAATTAATGTGAAGCTCATCAACAACACATTTATCACACTAAACCATGAGAAAAAGCCTAAGGAAAAGTGAAGAAACTTGTGAACATTTCAATATTTCTATGCTTCTTGCTTTTTTTTTTTTTTTGCAAAGGTACAACTTTGCTATTGTTGATGTGACATGTATGTATCCTGCTGTAACACTGCAGTGGCTGTTAAGAGTTGACAAAAAGTCATTATTTGCAATCATGAAGGTGTGTTCACAGCAGATGCCACTCTGCGACTACGACAAGCTGCATTCCCACAATTCCCTCGTGCTGGTCATAGACATATGTAAGCTAGACGCAGCATGGGGAGCAGCGGAGCGTCAAATACGGCCGCCGTCTTGGTGAGGTGTACGCCCCATTTACCACTGTTTGACGGGACAGTCAAGTCTCAGAGCATTAAATCAATCATAATTCACTGAATACTTCATTGATTTTCACACTCTTTTTTTTCTGCAAACGTCATCCACAGAGGCCTGATGCAGGTCAGACGTTTTGGCGATTTGCAGAGAAGAAAACGTGTGAAAATCATCGGAATTGTGGGATTGCAACTTGTCGTAGTCGCAGGTGAACACACCTTTAGACTTTCTTCACTCGATTACTGACCAACATTTATTACAAACCTGCTTCCTCCATGGCCAATCACTGTCACCATAGTTATATACGATTTCTTCTCCTGGATGAATGTCCCTCAGAGCAAATAAACAGAGGTAGGGTTTGCCCTCTGCTACGATCTTCTTCATTTTGCAGTTGGGATGTCTGTTGTCATCATTGACTAATCGTCCAAGGCTGTCATCTTCTTGAGATGCATCAATACTTCACAAAATAACAAAATGACTGATTATGCTTGATAATATTTAAATAGTAATTTAATTACCTGATATAATTTGCCATTACTCTAATTACTAATGGTTGTAGATGCTAATTTAAAATATATATATATTATCAAATTTGTTTGTGCATTGAAAAAACTCAACTGTGCAGAAATGTCATAATCAATCAAAGCCTTACCACCATGTCTTTTCTTTCCAGCGGAAATCAAACATGAAAACGGCACATGATCTGTGATAGGTCCTCCTCCTCCTTGCTGATTCATCAGATGTTATTAGTTGTCCTCTGTACTCCACCACAAAGTCGCCTTTACTAAAATGGGTTCTGGCAAACACCCCTCGACCTGTTCAAACACATTACGTTATTACATATAGACAATGCAAACTGTCAATTCATTGTCTTGGACCTGACATGAAGACAATTTTAGCTCAGCAAATATCAGCGATAATTCAGTCTGATGAAGTCATGCTAGGCTGCCAGTCAGAAACACTGACCACAGATAGGAGGGGTGCAAGCGCACCACATTAAGGTATGCTGGATTCATACCGCAAGACAAAAAGAGTTTGTTTTACACAAGTGATCATCTACCTGCCTATTGCAGGTGGCTGGTTCTAATTTTAGACTCTGAAAGAACAACACAAACAGAGTACCTTTAAAGGAATTGATGTACTTCACTTCTAATTCTGCTATCTTGTCCTGTGCCTTGATAGCATTTTCTATAGCATCCTGTAATGGAGGTTTCCCCCTCCTCCTCCTCGCAGCCATTGGAAATCCTGTCAGTAATCACAAAACAATTATAATATTACAAGATATCCCAATAAATTTTACATTTGATAAACATGTCTTGGGTTATGTTAGACAGCCAAATATATA